TATCCGTAATACTGTCACTCTCACTATTTCCATTAATCTGTATATTACATAAATCACCTGAAGAATAGTCTCCCGAGCTTATTTCACCTGATGATTAAGCACCCTAACGCCACCTGGGAGGGTTTAGATTAGTATTACGGTATTTAATCATCAGTTGAAGTAAGTTTAGGTGTCTAATCTTCACATGATCCTATTTCATTAAATCGGAATAGAAATAACAATACAGGCGTAGAGATTTACCCGTAGTTGTGTACCTGATTGGCGAATTAAATGGTACTTCAGACTCCCGCCTCCAGTGATGAGGATGGGGATGGATGGAAAGCGGCGGTAGGGGATGATGGTGATTTGTAGGAAGTGAGAGCTAATGGTTGGTGAAGCGGTTGAAGGAGGTAGAGGAGGAGGTTGGTGGGGTATTTGGGAGGAAAGACTGAGGTGGTGATGGTGGAGAGAGGATGGATGGGAGATGGGGAATAAGGGGATTGGATTCAAGTTGGATTGGTGATGGGAGTTGGGGCAGGATTGTAGGGGTGGTGAGGGATGGAACAGGGGCAGTGATGGTGAGGAATGGGGCAAGGGGAAGTGATGGGGAGGGATGGGGCGGTGATGGGGAGGTGTTATCAGGCAGCAGCAGGAATGTGTCATCGGGATTCGCCAAGTCTTCACTATTCGTATGGAAATTATCTGCTGCCAACTCTGGGTGTCGCGGCCACTGTGTCTAATGACGCGGGGGTGGGAGGTAAGTGGTGGGGTGGAGGGTGAAATGGGGGCAACGGGAGAGACAGATAGGGGTGACGGGTGAAAGGAATAACGAGAGAGGGAAGAGATACAAGTGAGAAATGAGATCTGTGTAATATTTGTGGCAAGGAAGAAAGTACTTGGTGGGTTGGTGGTGGTAAGAGTGGGTGGTGATGGTAGTGCTGCAACAATAATAATACTCTGGTGTAGGTTAACAGTGACCTGCGACGACCACCAGTTAATTGTAAGATAATTGAGGCCATAATAATATGCCTTACTCTTTTTTTCAACAGATGATGCTGGGCTATTGTTATGTTGTGTGTGTGTGTACAAGACCAGGTGTAGCGGCTGTGTCCCTAGTTAGTGTAGGTTCTCTGTTTCTGTACACGCATCTATATCAGTTTTCATACTTGTACAGTACCTGTTTTGTCATGTTGAAAATTAATTAAATTAAATTACTAGTTCATTTTATTATTTCAGCCACCCAAGCGGCTAACGAACCGACCAGCAGCGAAGAGGATAAAAGTAACATAGTATTAATTGTTACATCATCTTGTACAGTAAAGAATTTAATGCACATTACGTTTACATCGAAAGAACACACGCAGGAGAACCCGCGTGTGTGAGATCAACATTTTTTAACATGTTAGAGACAGACCAAACTAGCCAACTGTTTTTTGTCTCAACATCAAAACCAAGATATTTATTTCAAAGATATTGGTGCCGCAACAGACATGGGTGATATGTCACTTAATAGTATGATAACTTACGTATTTTTACGTGTGTTAATCAGTGTATCATTATATTATGAAAATGTGATCAATAATGTGTCAGAAAAATCATCAAAACAGAAATTTTTAATCATTATATTTATATTATATTTGCCCCCGAGGGGGCTAGTTTATTGGGCACCCCCTGTCATCCTGTGCAAGGTGAAGCGCAAAAATATTTACAGCGCCCATCTGGGAAGCATGCGTAGTTCATGCTTGCCTTCATGACTCATGCATTAAGGGCGTAAAAGCCTGAAGGGTTATGGGCTTTGTCAGCAAGTTACATAAAGTGACAGAATGATAAGTGTGTGGGGGAAAATTCCCGGTAGAACTCATCTGTTTATGGCAAGGCGTGGCAGGTCCCTAGTGCCAGGCCTGTCTCTAGGAGGACGGATATCTGGTCAGGGAGGGAAGAGGTGTTGGTAACAGGGTCATCAGTGGTTTGTAGGTAAGAAAGTCAGGAGATACCCCGGGAGTCTGGGTGGGGCCCCTGGGACCAGAGACTGGGGTGCAGGGCATTGAGGTCCCCAACAAGGAGGGTGGGGGTGGAGGTGATATGTTGTGGTAGGACAGACAGTGGAGGTGGAGGGAGGCACATAGACATTGGCAATATTGAGGGACATACCTTTTAGTGTGATTGTGATGGCGTGTACGTCGGTAGTGTCGGCATCAAGGAGGACGTCGAGAGGTTGGTAGGGGACATCCTTCTTGACGTAGATACGTAGTCCACGTGCTTGTCCTCGTGGTGGTCCATCGACGCGGAGAACAGAAGGTTCCGGCATGCCGGTGGGGGACTGGGAGCCGGGGGTGGTGTCCTCGGGTTCAATAGGGGGCTCTGTTAGAGACAGCTCAGAGACAGGAGCAGGCGCAGCTTGCAGTGAGTGGACAGATTGGGGCACCACGTGTCGTGGTGATGAGGCAGGACATGGCACAGGGGCAGCAGGGCACACTGGGGCAGGCCCGGTAGGCGCCACTCCAGCAGTGATGGCAGGCAGCGGTTGACTAGGCCGTGAGCATGAGGGGCACACAGGGGGGCTACCAGGTTGTGTCACACCAGAAGAGGGGGGTGACTGGGTAGCAGCTGGAGGCAGGGGTAGTCTGTGTAGGTTGGAGATGGCGGTACAGAGTGTATCAAAAAGTTTTTCAATACAGTTGGTAAATTCGTGGAAGAGTGATATGATCTGTGTCGTGTCACCGGAGGGGGGTTGTGGGGGGGCACCGGTGGGATCACAAGGCCTGACAGCGTCAGAGTAGAGACGGGGAGGAGGCCCAGTAGTAGTTGAGTTAGGAGACGGCCGAGACTGCTGTGTTGCAGCCAGGTGAGGCCAGGCAGGGGCAGGTGTTGCTGAAGAAGAAGGCGTTGCTTGAGACAGAGGAGGGGGCGCAGAGGGAGGCGGCCCGGTAGACTGAGGGGGGGGGGGTTGCGGATGACGCGACCTTCGGAGGGGCTTTTCCCCTCGGACAGACGGGCGTTTGGGGCATTGCCCTGAATCTGCATTGTGCCAGCCACCACAATTACAGCACCTGGGGTCAACAACATAGCCCACACCACCCCCATTGAGGTAATCTTTGATTTTCTGGGCACAGATGGCGGAGTTATGGTTACTTGAAAAGAAGCGACATCTAGGACGATCACACAAAAAGCAGGCTCGGGATGACAGGGTTCTGCATAAAGTGGAGGGAGGGGAGGACTGGGTGGGCCTCAACAGTGGCTGGGTACTCCCTCCCCTTCCATTTAACAATGACCGCTGCTTGTGGGGTGTTCCCTCAGTAGTGTTGACGTATACTGAGTATACGTGGATTAAAGTCACGAGCATCTTCGACATCAGCGTATAGGGGGAATTGTTTATACATTTCTCCTGCGCGTGGACCCCTTGACCTCCATCCTGCAGGGGCAAACTCCCCTTCCTTACTCCCTGCACTCCACTCCTCCCTCCCTGCACCCTACCCATCCTTTCACCCCTAACATTCCTTCCTCCCTGGACTTCACCCCTTTTTCTCCCTCCCTCAACCTCACCCCTTCCTCCTCTCATAATATATCTATTCTAAAAACGTTGGATGTGTTTGCAGTGCGCGTAGTGTAAACAATCTTGGGCAGCTTACATTATGTGTGTTACAATTTTTTATTTAATTTTACTTTGTGTGCCTTGCGTAATTAGAATATGTAAATATATATAAAAAAAATATCTTTGAAGCACAAAAGTAAAACGTTGATAGTGTATGCTTTCTGTTCAGTGCAAATATCGAATCTCGCGATCTTTAATTATAATTATTCTGAACTTCATCGGCGTCTGTGTAGATACTCCAAAAAATATATATATTATTTTCCATATTCACCGTATATCCCCTTAAAACACCCGGATTACAGGCCTTTCAACCCTAAGATTTCCAGGATTGTTATCAGTGGCGCTAATCTACTCCACATACCGAACTGCATGCTTATAAAACTTTGTGGGTGAAGGAAAATATAGGATTCTTTTCTGGAATTCGCTTACATTTTATTCTACTTTAATTTACTTTACCTTGTTGTCCTTTTCTCATAATCTTAACCAAGTGGCTCAAGTTAAGAAACACAGCATAGGTTATCAACAATAAAATCTGAATTTAACAACACAGTATAAACATAAATATGGGTTTGAAAACATCTTTATTTAAGTGGTATTATTTAGTATGGTAATTTAAATGTGACTTTTAACGTCGTAGCAGTGATACATATTAATATTTTTTTAGTTATACTGGAGAAGAGTAACACCTTTTTTTTCACTATATCCATTTCAGTGAGGCTGTCATATAATAGGCAAATGTCAAGAATAAGTTACACTGACAGGAATAACTACAAGCTCGCCAAGTTATCATGCTGAACGAATATAAGGAAATACTTTTTCACACAGGCTGGTAGACCTATGGAACGGTCTACCAGCCCAAGCAATGAACTCAAGAACAGTACAGTACTGCTGATCGGGCTTCAAAATAGCTCTTGACAAAATTACCAAGAACAATGGAGGGTCTTACACAGGCCACTGGTCTCCTTCCCTCGGCATGGTCACCTTTAGTGGGTGGCCAGTAGGTAAATAGGTAGGTATAGGTTAAAAAAAATGAAAAAGTACTAAGGTTACCAAAGAAATTCAGAGAATACTTTGAAATTTAAATGTACAGAAAAGAAAAACTAGATACCTTGGTCATATAATTAGGGATGGAGGAATAATAACAGAAATGTTAATGGTCAAAGTGAGGGTACGAGCACCAGGGGAAGGCAAAAACTGGGATGGATAAATGAAATAAAAAAAATAGGTCCCCAGAGATACAAAATCGTGGGCGATGGTAAAAACAGTCCGAAAACATTTAGAGGGGAGGACTGTGGTCGCCAACCCTCAGACATGAGAACAATACTCTGATTAACTGAATCTTTCATATCTTTATGGAGGATTTATTCCGATTATTTAAACACGCTATTAAATGTAAAAGTTTACCGTGAATAATTTGACCCATTTTCTGACTGTTTTCTTTGTCCGCAGGTATTTTTGATGCCACACTCGCACAATGATCCAGGATGGTTGAAGACCTACGAGGAGTACTACTTCCACCAGACGAGCAAGATCCTCCAGAACATGATAGAAAAACTCAGAGTACATACTAACATGACTTTTATATGGTCAGAGATTTCCTTCCTCTCTCTCTGGTATGAAAGGTAAGCCACAGTTGAGATGATATTGTGATTCTTCTATTCTATAATATGATAACATATTTACCACTTACTTATTTTAGCAACTATGATAATATTTATAAGCTGAGATTAACGGATGTGTGGTTGTTTATTAGAAAAAGGCCGAAGACATTTGATGGAGATTATAGGAGATAGGAAAACTACTAAGTTAAGAAGTACCACGGTGTGTTAGTTCGGGATGTAAATGAGTTTTGGTAGGTAAGGGTTTTTACAGAATGTTATATCAAACAGAAAAGGTATGACACTCCCTTATACTCTAGTAAGCCACGTCCATCTGATATCTTGGAGAAAAACAAAACACCATAACATATCGGGAAATTCGTCTTTTGGATATTACTAAAAGTATCGGTGAATGAAGTAGAGTTTATATCGTGAGGGGCGGGAGAGCTGCGAACAGAACATGTTCTCCAGCCACGGCGTCAGCCCTGGTCATAATGATATGCATCTGTATGCAACCATAATATTGTTGCAGCGGTACAGGCCTGGGGAGCTGTTGGTGGCGTACCATTTGGGAGATGGCAACTATATACGTTTTCATTATGATTTTTATCTGCATTGGGTTAATTTGGCGTAGCGGGCCACTGCTTCTGAGACCAGACAGTCCTACACCTAACTAATTTGACTTGAGCTAATACACAAAAATTTAGTCCACAACTAACCTCAAAATTACAAAATAAGAAACCCCCTTCACTATGGAGACGCCACTTTAATATTTTATTTGGCTACACGCCATACGATTTTATTCAATCCAGGGGGAAGCTCGTACACAAGGGGTTAATAGACTATCACCACTAATGGATTTCTGAAGAAAACCTTCAAAACTACAAAACTTTAAATGTCTCTTAGGCTGGGAGCCGTTAATAATTTTCACGATTACATCAAAAATGTAATTTTCCAAATCACAATATCTACCACCAAATGATGTTCCTCAACTTGAATATTTCTTATATTTTATGACTGACGAACATTATGAATTTCGTCAGCATTTGCTTATTTTTCTCGTGGCTCGATAAGTCATTATAAGACTACCTATATACAGAAAAAGAAATAACACCAGACAGATATTGAAAAATTTAACGATACGTAGTCACGTACTATCAGCCAGTGTCTTCCAAGCCGAATTACATGTATTTTTGTGTATTTGACCCGCCAGATTATCATTACATTTAGCTCATATAATTATAATATTACTATAATTGTTTAAACTAAGCAGAAATAGATCTGTGCATGTTATATGCAGGACTATTTATTAATATACGTTGTTGAAACGGTGAAAAAATAGATCTTATGTGTACAAACAGGCTCAGAACCCGCAGATGGCAGGCTGCCCACTGCCCAGCTGTGCCTTAATTGGCTATACTGGCCTCGCCGCTGGTGGCCTGTCAGACCCACAGACCTGCTCCTCCCGGCCCCGACACACAACACCAAATTATTAACATAACCTCCCGGGAGAGGGATCACATCCATACTATTGTATTTACTTACCTGATATGTTGTCCGTGATTGTGCTTTCCAACTTTATGTTCATTGATATATTATTTTTAACCTTCTCTGATGTATAAAGTTTTTTTGTTTGTTTGTTTTTTAATAAAAACCAACGCCATCACTTGTGTCACATGCACGAAAGGCTGTCAAAGTTGTTTTAAAAACTTTGTCCAAACAAACTGTAACTCTCCATACCCTGATAATGTTAAGCTTGTAAAGAACAATGCAGAGGTAGGACGTAGGGATTATGAAAGCGAACCATTTCATTTAAATTGCAAAAGAAACATTCCACAAAAGCGTTGCTAGCCTTTTTACAAAGAGGGATTTGGATGCCAGGGTCCTGGCATCACTTTAGGAGAGTATCCACTACACGTCGTGTAAATATAACACGTTAAACATATTAAAAGGCTATAATTTTTACCACTTATTTCGGTGACTAAAACATTAGTGAAATCAATAGCATGCCTCGGGAGTTTCTAGGTTTCTAGGGTTGGCAAGTACCGGTATGTTGTAACGTCAAGCAAATTACAGTATATCCATATTTGAACTTGTTATAGACTAGGTGTAATGGTCAAAGAAGAAACTCTTAGTTTTTTGCTTATTTCAATGTTTTAGTATTTCAGTGAGAAACTGTTTTACTTAATAATTAAATAGCATTTTCTTCATAAAACAGGGTATTTAAGAGTGGGCCCTACATGTAACCCATTGTACCACACACACACACACACACACACACACACACACAGGGACCCTAACACCTTTCACCGTTGCTCCTTAAATGCAATCTTAAAATCACCGTCTAGATATCTGTGGAAATTTCTGTAAACAATTTACAAATACGGTAATTATTGCCACGTGTCTAAGAAATCATCACAGTGGAAAAGAGGAAGAAGAACAAATTTACCTTGGCGGTGCCCTTGATTTAATATTCACGAGAAGCATGAATATAATGTAGAGGCATTCAATACATAAGAGAGGCATTTGATATACGGGAGAGGCATTTGTATACGGTATAAGGGAGTCTTTTGATAAAGGCATCAAAGGGGATCTTTAATATAAGAGCGTAATAAATATGCAAGAGCAGCATTTCATTTACAAGGGAGGCATTTGATAAACAAGTGAAGTATTTAATTTACACGAGAGGCATTTCACTAACTCAGACAGCCGTTCGGGTGAAAAGTTCAGAATTCAAGTATGTAATTGAATACCGAGGGAGAAAGGAATTTAAAAGTTAAACACACTAAATAACAGCGGTAGTTTAATTGGACGCCGGAAAATAAGCTGGGGGAAAATACAGCACAAGTTGGTCGTTTTATCCGTGCGTGTGTTGCGGGAACAGTGGAAGATGGAACAATGCCGTTTATATAAGGCATAACAGCAGGAGGTACAGAATTAGCAATGAAGGATGTAAAAGTACAGTTTTGAACTCCTAATAATAAAACTTTGTAAATTGCATTTCCTGGGATAGTTGTTTGCTGCATGCTCTGGGAGGATATCCCCATATATATGACGAGGAATTACATTTTACGGGTTTTTGGATCACCTGAAATTCTCCACCCCAGCTTATTTCACCTAAGATTAATCACCCTAACACTATTTGTGGGGGTGGGGGTGAGGTTTAGGGCGGTAAATCTTCAGGTGAAATGAGCTTGAATGGAGATTCCTTCAGGTTTTACTCATGAAAAATCAAATGTCAACTGCCGCAACATTGAATTGTTGTTCGTTGCCACTTCCCGTGTGTAATGGTCTTTCTCCAAATCTGATAATTATTTAAGTGCGTATTAATTATTAATTCTTTGTTTTCATCTTGCTTGCTTGCTTGCTTGGCGATATCTTTTTGAACTAGGAAGCTGGTGATAAAATATAAAAATTTCTCGTTCATTAAATTAACCAAATTAACCTACCAAACTTAACTTAAATAATACAATACAATAATGTTTTGGTGAAGCTCAAGTTTAGGTAGGTTAGATTTGGTTTGGTATGGTACAGTAGGTTAGTTTGGTTCTTTTATGATCAACAAATTATATGTAGCAGTTCAGTATCTGCTGCCGAGTAAAGTTCCCAGGCTCGCCGATGTTAATGATGCTCGTGATTTTATCCTACTGCAACTTTAAGTCTTAAACGTATGCCACTTATTGTATAACTTAAAGCTTAGGCTTTACTGTGTACCCAGTTTCAATTGTGCAGTCACATTGATCATAATTAATTTTATATATAATGCGTGTTTGAAATACGGCACAAGTAGTCCAGTTCTACTACCACCTATACTTGCATTATTGCCTAATAAATATCAAATAAATGAACTATGAATTGAATCATCGCAGTTTTACTGGGCCACTGATATAGGATATATCACGAAATGTAAATTTCATTCTCTTGCCAACTTTATTCATGTATTATTTTATACTCGACTGTAATCTCTATACACTAACTGAAAGCAACAGCAGCTCTGAATTGTGCAATTACTTCCAATAAATTACACATAAGTATTGTCTATTGGTCACTTATTCTAATTCTGAATGTTTTTCCGAAGTAACGGTAGCTTTAGCGCAGCTACATTTGGCCCAAGCAGCAGTAGCATCTATTTCCAGGAGGTAGTGAGTGCATAATTGCACACAACTTAAGTAACTAGAAACATCGAGGTTACATTCATCCCTTAGAGTGACTTTTGCTCCAGTGAGGTACGTGTTTCCCGTACACAACTGTAGTGTCTTTTGCAGCTGCCCAAGGCAGTTAGTATTTTGTACGTAATACTTCGTACATATTATCTTTTAAGCGAGGAACAGGCCCACTGTTACGTCCCTGCAGGAACATAATGTTGATTCGAAGCATTTACTGCTTTAATATTTCATTTTGCTAACAAATAGATTCAACGTGAATGGCATTTATATATGTACATTAAGCGTGTAACAAGATAAGTAATTACACTAGTCCAACAATTAAAAATTAAGAGATAGAACTCTCCATTTAAAAAAAGTAAATATACTTTGGATCAATCCAACTTAATATCATGTCACAGTTTCTTGTACACAAAGAAAGCCATATGACAGCAGTACAGTACGTGGTCATTACTTGAATTTAAAATTTTGTTGCACAAGAGTAATTTCTTAAAAGTAATAGAGTAAAATGGAATACTGTATCTTTTCTGGTCAAACAAGAACTGAAGATCAGTGACGAGAAGTTTAAAGTAAGTAATAGTTACCAAGAAGCTAATGTGGGGATATTTCTTAAAAACAAAATTCACATACAGCGGCTAGTTTATTGTGCACCCATACTTATCCTGCGAGTATGGTAGCTCAAAAAGGATTAGGCCTACAGAGCAGAGGTCCCAATGGATGTGTATAATAGACCCCCAGTGGTCAGAATATAGTGACTTTGAATGTTAGAGTTTTTCAAATACCTGTACATTTTTTGTTTAGTTCTCTATATACCTGTGGGAGTTCATTTATTCACTCCTGCTTCAGTGATATACTGCAGTATGAGGCCATATGTTTTGGTCACAAACTTTGTTCTTCACATCTGGATGAGAGACATTAAAGTATAATGGGTGTTTTTTTTATTCTATACGTAGAAATTTACTTAGGTACTCGATGTAAAAAAAGTGGACATAATCTTAACATGTCTCATCTTTTTTTTTCTTTTTTTTTTGCGGGGATGAGCCCACCGGAGCACAGGTCACTGATTCACATGAGGGCCTGGGGGGGGGGGCGAGGGGGGGCGAAAATATAATAATACAGTAATAGTAATAATAATAATAATAATAATAATAATAATAATAATAATAATAATAATAATAATTAATATTAATTAATCAAAATAGATAAAAATACTAATAATAATAATAACCATAAATAGATACACAAACGAAAAAATAAATCAAGAGTGAGAAACAATATACAGCATGTTGTGTTGTCAATAGTAAGAGAAACAATTGTGACCCTGCAATTGTGTGTAAATGAGGCAGAAAGTCAGATCAGCAACTTGGGACTTGGTCATAATTTTTGTGATGCCATATGGCAGCAGGGTCTACCACAGACAACACATTATGCTTCCAATATCTTTCCAGGCAGTAGTACCTCCCAGTTTGATAGCTGCCTACTACCTATATCGTGCCATTAGAGATAAAGTGTTGTGTCATTTCACACACACTGTGCTAAAACCTGGCTTTAAAAAGTTATATTTTTTCACAATCTATAGAATATCTTATTCGAGTGTGTGGCCATAAGTCTAGCCACCCCTTATGCAATGAGTTTTGTGCATATCTATCTGAAGGGCATATTGCCGGAGGTACTTTTATCCTAACCTTGGTCCGGTGGTTACATCTTGTAATACTGTATAGTGATCTCGTTACTTACTCCATTAACATGTTCTACTTGATACATATCCTCATGGTACACAATGGATTGCATTTGTCTGCTTGCTTATAATTTATCAGCTTGTTCCTTCCTGATTACAGTTTTTAGGGTTCCCTTTGATAGACCTAGATTGTATTCAGCAGTCTTTGTTAGATGCGAGTTTGGCTGAGGCATCAACTCTATTACGTTCACTGAGGTCTACATGGTTATGCTCTTGGGGGGGAGGCAACTAGAATGTTTAAGGAGGCACAAACAAATTTTCTCTGAGTGTGGTCCTCAAGCAGCCCCTATAAATTACCCTGCCGTTATACAATAGGTGGTGATGATGGCGCCGCCGTGCCAGTTGTCTGTGATATATTTTTATGCAACTCTCGTATACATGACCTCCTTTTTTATACATAGATGATAGTCCTTTACTATATAATTCCAAAAACAAAAATTTATTTTTATTGTCCCATTTATTACAGCATAGAGTATTATAGTTGTTGTTTTTTTCTTGGCAGTTATAATGAAAATAAAATTAGACCCATTTAGATAATTATTGAATTCAAAATTAACTGCTACAATTAAAAAATTTCACACACATCAGTTCAATGCTCCTAATCTTACTATACAAACGTTTACAATTAAATTACAGCACATATAACCAACTATGATCAATTGGTATAATTGTTATAATTGGTATATGCAAGATCTGAGGGGGCACTGAGAGGGGGCACTGCTGCTTAGTCCCATCCCCCTCCCCCCCGCCCCTTCAACACGCGCATATTTGTGTATGGCTTCAGAGACACTAGCTTGATAAGTGTGGGTGTCAAGAGCAAGTAGTATGATAAGGAGTTATTGATGATGATGCTATGTGACTGGTTTCAGCAAGTTTTTTATTTGGCTGGACTAAGTATGTGTGTGTGTCCGTAGGGCGCACCCGACGTTGAGACAGCAGCTCAAGGACTTGGTGTCGTCGGGCCGCCTGGAAATAGCCACAGGCGGCTGGGTGATGACGGACGAGGCGAATGTCCATCTCTATGCCATGCTGGACCAACTGATTGAAGGTGAGTACCTATGGGGAGCACCAGATGAGTTACACGTTTGACCAAGGAACTTAAGAGGAACACCAGTGGGGTTACATGGCCGAGGAACCCGGGATAAACATAGAGGGTAAAGATTCGATTTAGGTTTAACATAGAACTTCCTCTTTTCATTTATATACGGATATAGAGCAAAAAAATAATAATACTTTATTCTATTATTATGTTTCTGCCCTGTTCACTTTGAACAACCAATATTGTTGGTAATTGGGGAGGACATATCGGTTAAAACACTTGAAAAATATAAATTTGCACCGAAAACGTAATAGAATATTTTTTTTTAGCCCCTCATCCCTGTATAAATAGAAAAATGAAATTACAGTATGTACAAAATATGACCCCTTTACCAGATCCCTTCTTGGATTACACCGCTCCTCAAAATGTAGCACCTCCTCCTATTGTAAGGCGGGTCAACTGAGATACGATGGGGGGAGCATCAGAAAGTCGTGTCTAAAGTCTAAACTCATTTACAAACACTCATACGTCTGGCAAAGACACAGACGATATTTACGTCATGTTAATTTAAATCAATTTCTGTACATCTGACTATGAAAATCAATATCATGGGTCAGATCACTTTCTTACATCTGTTGATACAATTTAATCAGAGTTCGAGCTTGCCTGGCAATAATGAAATGGACGTCAAACGCACAAGTTGGCAACGTCTTTCTTACTACCTCATCAAAATACAGACAAGGGCCTACTGAGAGTTTGCAATTAGATCTTGGAGATAAGAAGACTGACACATTCTTTTCAGGATATTAATTACTTTCTAAAATATGAAACTGACAATAATTTCAATACAAACATCAGATTCTCTGACGATTGGCAATCAAAATGACCTAACTTCAGTAGCAATTTGGCCCCAAGGACGAGGTCAGGGATTCGTCACTTCTACTGGCAGACTCTAACTTATTTGACAATTTCACTAACAGTAAATACAGTTGAAGCTTTCAACATCACTCACAAGGGATCTCGAATGTTTCATCTGTAATCAGACTTATCTAACTTACTGTACAACATCGGTATTCTGTTTCTATTTCAAATCGCACATGACATAACATACTAAGGAATACTAGAGTCTCAGCTCTACTTGAGAGAAAATCGGAGTACTCAGGCATACTGAAACGGTGAGAAAACGGGCGTCTCAGATGGGGGACTCAATAATTAAGATCTTGCATAGCTTTCTACTGATAATTTGATTCTCTGACGATTGGCAATCAAAATGACCTAACTTCAGTAGCAATTTGGCGTCAATACTTCTACTGGCAGACTCTAACTTATTTGACAATTTCACTAACAGTAAATACAGTTGAAGCTTTCAACATCACTCACAAGGGATCTCGAATGTTTCATCTGTAATCAGACTTATCTAACTTACTGTACAACATCGGTATTCTGTTTCTATTTCAAATCGCACATGACATAACATACTAAGGAATACTAGAGTCTCAGCTCTACTTGAGAGAAAATCGGAGTACTCAGGCATACTGAAACGGTGAGAAAACGGGCGTCTCAGATGGGGGACTCAATAATTAAGGCATAGCTACATGTTTTAGTGACTATGGAGCGTAATACGAATCATAATACGTGTGTTAACTAACATGTACTAATGAGATCAGTACACTATAACACCAGATCATTCCAAAAAGTCAGAATCCACTCAACGTCAACAAAAAATATAAGATTGACCTATACTAATTACCACATGGTTCATTTACAATTAGAGGTCTTTAAAATTATTTAATAAATTTAGTAATAACCATTATATCAGTGATAGCTTATGATAATGGCCATAACTCAGTGATGATGCTGACAAAAATAATGTTTGTGCTATTATAGCCAAACAAATATATGCTCACAAGGATAAATATTTCCCCAGTCAATGTACAGTACGGGACTGTAGACTGTATAAACAGATGTATTGTATGGTATTTACTTTTGCCAAATTTAAATTGTGAATTAAAAAGAAGCCAAACAATTCAACAGTTGTACAAAACTTTGCTAAACATTGCTGAGCTTCTCTCCTAAGCTTGGGTAACTTGGGATAAATTTGGGGAAGTCATACAGTATAGGCCTACAGTATAATGACTTCTGGTTTGAATGAACCAATCATTTCTTAAATTAATTTCAAACGTAGGTATATTATTGAATATTCAAAATTTTAACTTTTAACTTGATGCAATTATTGAATAGTGTTATATTTAAGGTTTGCTTCATATACATTGCAGTGAGCTGAAGGACTACATCCTACAGCACTGTATACTGTAAATCACCTGTAACCATTTATTTCTTGCCAATAGTACAGATACAGTACATTCACTTAAGATATACAGTCCAGTATATCAAGGACATTCAGTACTTTTAGCTGAATTATATTTTCAGTAAAAATTTAAAGCATCAGATCAGTACTACTGTATTAAATAAAAACAAAATCACCTATTTTACCTGTGTACTTTACAGGTTCTCATATATATATAACTATACTGTAGTACATTACTATACAGTACATTGTAAAAAAAAAAATTTTTAATCCATTTCTATTTAATATACTGTACAGCGTACAGTATTAATTGCAGTACGTACAGTATTTCAAATGTCATGGTACATTACTGAAAATTCATCTGTTTTAATATTTGGAACTATACAGGTACAGGGGGCCCCCAAGTTTGCGGATTTTTATTTTGCGGTCCTCTATTATTCGCAGATGACACTCTGGATGAACCCAAGAATGTCTGTGGGTAGTTTTAAAGTTGCCGGTATTTTTGAGGCTGGGACAGGAAGCCATTCGTTCTAGAGACAGTAATTTCCTTTACCTGTATTGTAAATATGTGTGTGCAGTCATTTTGAGAACCTAATCCCCAAGAATTTAGGGGGCCCCTGTAATATACTTTACTGTACTGTATATAGAAATGAATCATAGATATAAGTACCTTGTACTGTATGGTCCTTCTTTTTTTAACTAATACCTTAAAATGATGTTTAGAATTAAAGAGTACAGTACTTCATGTTACCCATTTATTTATGTAGTAACTTTTGAACTTCCATTCTGTTGAAGAGTCCTTCATAACTAACTTTTGCAGGTCACCAGTGGTTGTCTAACATCCTTGGAGTCCGGCCAGTCAGTGGTTGGTCAGTGGATCCTTTTGGCCATGGAGCAGCTGTACCATATCTATTACAAGAGTCAGGTGTGAAGGCCACTGTTGTCCAGAGGATACACTATGCTTGGAAACAGTGGTTGGCTGAACAACAGCTTGGAGATTTCCAGTGGAGACAAGTATGGGACTCTACTGGAGAAAATGACATCCTCTGTCATAACCGACCTTATGATATATACTCTATCAAACATTCCTGTGGCCCACATCCTCAGATTTGCCTTGGATATGACTTCCGGAAGGTAAGTCAGTGTGGTTTATTAAGTACTGGGGGGGTCTTTAAAAATACTTATTTACCTAATGGTACTGGGTGGCCATTCTGAGTGAAGAAGGCCAGTGCCAATGCTCTTGATAATTTTATCCAGGCCAGTACTATTCGTGATTCCACAGCTTGGGCTAGTAGACTGTTCAACAGGTCTGCCACCCTTTGTGTGAAAAAGTATTTCCTTGTATTCTTTCTGCATGATAACTTGGTGAGCTTGTAGTTATGTTCTCTTGTGTTGGTGGTGCGTGACATCACAAAAAAGGTCCCCGGTTCACGTTTTCTATCCCTTTCAGGATTTTTAATGTGCCCTATTGTGTCTTGTCTGAAGGATTTTTAGTACTAAGGCCTTCAGTTTACTTGAAAAATCATTTTTTTATCGAGATGACATAGTTCAGGAATCATTTTAGATGCTGTGTGTTGCACCTTTTCTAGGTATGTTAGATCTTTCTGGAGATAGGATTTCCAAGCCTATACGTACAATACATGTAATCCAGACTGGGACATACTGTACTGTATTCTCTCTCTCTCTCTTTGTTTTACATGAAGTGATGTTTGATAAAAACACTGTTGCAAATTACCAGTAATCATATCCATACAGTTCTCCATTCACATGAGCTTTGCAACACTTGGGGAGAAACACTATTTGTATGAGTTTGTTGTATGTTAGAATACTGTACAATATTATATCATCTGATAGATTAAATGATATGAGGGTCATGATAAGGGATTTTGCAATAGTATCTCAGTAGTCATATACTGTATGGTAAAACAGTAAAATGGTGAAAAAAGAAAAAAATCAATTGCCTACACTATGAACATTCTCAAATTCCAAAGGATTGTAATTATTAAATGTGAGTACCAGGCTCAATATCTGATATCCGTGTGAACGACAATGTTATTTGACTAACACCACCGCAATCCCTCACTCAAACTCCACTCATGGCGAAGCCTAAAACTGTCCACATTATTTCGAATGTCTATTATGGTCACTTATGCCTCATATTTATTGAGTGATTTTTGTATGCTCTCACATAAAGGAAATCAATGACACTTGCTTAATGTACAGTATTTAACATCCATGGGATATGCTGTATAAGCACATATGAAAAGGCATTTATAAGACATGCATTTATGCATAGGACCAGTCAAATAACATTAATATGATGGTAGCATGCTAAGTACAGTAACCCCTTGCCATTCGCGAGTTTGCAATTTCGACGATTCGCGGTAAGCTTCCAAGCCTTTTCCTGCAGCACAACTAGTCACCCCATGCAGCATCTCGTGTTGTACTCTCAAAACTTTAGTGTTTCTGTGTGAAATGGGTACTCTAAAAGACTGCCTAGTGTCAGTGCTAGTGGCGTGAAATGTAAAATGCAGAAGTCAGTGATGACCCTGACAAAGAAAGTTTTATTATTAAACAAGTTAAAAGGGGATGAGTGCTGCCACAGCTGGTCAGTTGTTTGGTATAGATATACAGTAGTGCACTAAGGTAGTATAAGTTGCTATTCGTGGTTTTGCCAATTGGCGCCATTTCTTGGAACCTATCCCTCCCGAATGGCAAGGGTTTACTGTACTGTATAGGGTGGTTGTAGCCTTGCCCAGGTCTGCCAGACATGGCAGCCCTGTTGTAATCAGACACGATATGTAGAGACCCCATCCCGCAATCACCCTTAGAGTAGGTGACAGTTGCATAAGTTTCAGCAGGAGGTGGGAAGAACATGGAAGTATGCCAGACTACAGGTGATTATTGATAAGGAGGCTGGACAGGATATTGTATGCAACTTGTAATTTAAATACTACCTCTACTAATAATAATAATAAAATTAATAATAACGTATTGTCTGCATTATATGCTAATCATGCACACCTCAGTAAATTATACATTGCACAATGATATTGCATCACCCAGACAGTGTTGTGAGATACACAAAAAGTTTAATTTTATTTTTATAAAATGTTGCAGTATAACTCTGAAGAGTTATTTACTTATAATTATTTTTCTCTTTGCAGGTGCCTGGGGAATACACAGAATACACCATAAAATCTGTACCTATAGATGACCACAATGTAAAGAAAAAGGCAGAGCTACTTTTGGAACAGTATGGTCGCACAGGGTCACTCTATCCTCATAATGTGGTTCTTGTCCCCATTGGTGATGACTTCCGCTACGATCACGCATCAGAATGGGACCAACAGTACAATAGTTATCAACGTCTTTTGACCCACATCAATGGTGATCCTAAATATCATGCCTCTATCCAGTTTGGAACACTAAAAGACTATTTTGCTGAAGTACAAAATCGGATGCGTGATTATCCAAGCCTTCAAGGGGACTTCTTTGTTTATAGTGATATCTTTAGTGAAGGGCGTCCTGCGTACTGGAGTGGCTATTTCACAACTAGACCTTATTGGAAGGTGCTTGATCGACAGTTAGAAGCTTCATTACGTTCTGCAGAGATCTTGTACACTTGGGCATATGCCTGGGCTAAGCAAGAAGGCCAGGCTAGAGTGGTGCAGTTGTTAGAAAAGGATTATGAAAAATTAGTGCGCGCTAGACGAAATTTAGGTCTATTCCAGCATCATGATGCCATCACAGGGACATCTAAAGCTTATGTGATGCACGACTATGCCATTAAGCTTCACGAGGGCTTGCACGATACATTAGCTCTGGCTGGTGAAGCAGCTGAAGCATTGCTTCTCACACCAGCTGCAATGGCTGCTTTAGATCATCGGGCTGCACCCCTGCATCATCTTCATCCAGATTTTGAACGTTCAACATATGAGCGGTTACCTCGCAAGTTGCCGTTAGCTATACCACGTGATCAGCCTCGCCTTATAGTAATGTTCAATTCTCTGGGACAACGACGCTATGAAGTAGTCAAAGTTTTGGTAACTGCTCTTGCTATCAGAGTGACTGATGAACATGGTCATGAAGTGCCTATCCAGATTAATCCAGTATGGAATGATACTGGAAATGGCATGGCTATCCTGTCTACCCAATTTGAGTTACTCTTTGTAGCAGACTTGCCAGCACTGAGTGTGATTACCTACAGTATTCACCACACATCTCGACCCACCACAGACCTGCGTGCATCTGTGTATTCCAATAATTATGCTCCAGCACCTGATCAAAATTACTCTCCACCATTTGAAGCACGTGATGTTTTGCCAGGTGATATCCAACTTGAGAGTGACCACCTCAAGCTTTTGTTTGACGGTACAACAGGAATGTTACGTTCCATTACAGATAAGATCAGTGGTCGTGTCACACAGACTGCAGTTCGTTATGCTGCATACCCTTCTGCACAGTTTAAATCAGGGGCTTATTTATTTAAGCCTGATCCTAATGCACGAGAACCCGAGGAAGATGTATTGGCAGGTGCCAAACCACGTCTCTTCATTCATTCTGGTCCTGTGGCATCAGAATTAAGTGTAATGTTTGGTACAGTATTAATGCACACAACCCGCATACTTCATGTGACGCACCAGCCTCTTGCATCCGCTGTTTATATGGAAAATGTGTTTAACTTAGGTGCCCGTTACAATAGTTCAGAGACACCTGGATTCCCTCCACATTTCCGTGAAACGGAAATGTTTATGCGCATCATGACAGATATTGATAATGGTGCAGAACCTACCTTTTACACAGACCAAAGTGGTCTCCACATGCAAAAACGTGTACGTGTTCAACGCATTGGTATCCAAGGCAATTACTTCCCAATTACTTCAGCTGCTATGATTGAGGACAATGGTCCTGGACGGCGGCTCACACTTCTCACAGACCATGCTGCGGGAGCTGCAGCTTGGCAACAGGGCTGGCTTGAAGTTATGGTGGAAAGAAGGACCTTCTATGATGATGCACGTGGTATGGGTGAGGGAGTGACAGATCAGAAACGCACTGTAGGGCGATATTGGCTGTTAGTTGAGGATACACAAGGCCCAGAACCAGTAGCTCGTCTTTCCCTTGCAGCTCATCACCTAGCTAATGATCTCAACTATCCAACTACTCAACTCATCAACGAAGGTCTTGATGCTGATCAACTGAATTCTGGGGCCCATCTCATAACTCGTCCACTGCCTTGTCCACTACACCTGATGACATTACGCACCTTGCCAGAGCCACAATACCCAAGTTTGTTACCATCCCGGACCACACTGATGATCATTCAGAACCAGTCACCATCCTGCACAACCTCTGCTTCTGTCTCAACCTGCAATGGACTAGCTGATTCCCCCTTTCCTGGCACTGAATTCACATTGCAAGTAAGTAAAGACTTTTGGCTTTTACTAGTTCGGTTACTGCATGTATGTCAGTTACGGTAGTTATATTTTTATTTACAGCACCAAAGGCTTAGTATACAGTATGCTATATCCACACTGCCCATTATGGGGCATGCATACACATGGGATCCACTTTCACTTTCACATACATTTCTGCTATCCACCTTTGCTCATCCAAACCTTAATTGTTAAGATCTGTCGTCCCCAACACACACACACCTCATCACTTAAGTCTTTCTGCAAAATATACTTCAGTCATTTTCCCCACACAGTATCAAATTTTCACATACCCATGTCCATACTGTATTGTTTACAATTACAGTACAAGGATAATAATCAAACAAGAGTTAACATAAATACTGTACTGTAATGTACTTACATCAATTCATTGTTCCAGTTCTTGCATGCAATCTTGCGCCTCTAGCCCCATCTTTATTTAAGTCTAGAATCTGTACTTTTTCATTGATAGCATAAGCATATTTATTCCTCTTGGTTCCAGAAGAAGATAGCTACAGTAGACTATGAAGGTTTCTTGCCATAGTTTGAAGCCATATCTCAGTAGTTTAGGAAAATGAGATGCAGGACAGAGCACAAATGCTGCCAGTATGGATATCATGGGTTGTTGGTTTACAAAAAAAAATAGGAGAACTTCTAGGTACAAGTATCCCTCAAAATACAAATAGGTTAGGTTCCCCAAAATTCCATTCATTAGAAGAACTTTTCCATCTCAAATAGAAAAACACATGGGAAAATGGGGTTTAATTCCCCAATGATACAAATACCCAATATCATACCCCAAAAACACAAAATCATTTCACAAACAAGAAAAAAAAACCTAATGATTGTACATATTTTTGTTTTATTATGCTGTACAGTTTAAAAATACTGTACAGTACACATTACAGGTATTGGAAAAAATATATAATGGACCAGACCCCTGAAGCTGGTTGTCTGGCCTCTAGCAACACTGCTCCACACCACATACAGTACAGTACGTTTATACTTCCCTGACTACTCCAAAGGCCACCACATACTAAGGAGAAATAAAGGATGGGATGAAAATTCAGCAAGTTAAAATTGGACCTGCTCTACTTGCAATAAAAATCTTAACTAAAAATCTACTAAAATAAATTACATCCCTTCTGAAGTGCTAATGCCTTGAAATCATTTGCATTTTGATATTCCAGATATTTAACATTATTTTAGAGAATAACAGGTCCACTTACCAATTTTGAAAATATTTAGTTTGAATAAATGGACAGCTATACAGTACACACATTTTCTATGAACCAATCAGCTATTTTTATGGAAGTGGAGCGTGGCTTACGGGCCAGGTTGGCATGGAAATACTATAGTTTTTCAGCTAGTTTATAATGAATATTCTGCACTGCACAGATCTTGATTGAAATTATTAAGATAAATGTAATTAATTGCTTTAAAGCTCAAGAAAATGACAAAATGGTAAAACCCAAATGCATGTTTTATTTAGTTAAAACAATTTCTGTTTTCAATAGCCATGGGTTTTTTCTCCTTGATCGACCACCCTGCTGTGTGTAACAGCACAAAACCGCGTGAAAACTGTAAAAAACATATACGTGGTTACATGGTGTCAATTGGTTGTTATCGCTCATTTTTGTATTCCACCAACCTTGTGGTGGTTGATATTTTACGGACTGTACAAGCACTGTAATGGAATCATCAGTTGTCTTTGTGCTGAGTTTTATATCTTGGGTTTGGGGTTTTGCATAGTACAGTACAGTACACAGTATTTGTCTATACAGTAGTCCAAATATTTTCTGTTTATATCCTTTTAAGCAAAGGTTAAATTAACATATTGTGATATGAATGGTACAGGTTTCTGAAAGGCCCAAAGTAATGATAATCTGTAGCATTTACAGGTACTGTACAAGTACTTGGTAAATTAAAGTTTATATTCTACAATACAGTATAGTCTCGATTTACGCGGTCAATTGAACCCGTGGAGGCCCGTGTGAACCTAGAAACAAGTAAACGAAATAACAGAACATATGGGATTAATTGAAATAGAGACTGGGCCGACCCCCAAACTACACTTTTTCCGACACAATACGTACGTTGTAGTAAAAATAACATCTTAATTTTATGATGGTATGCACACACAATAATAGTTAGGAGAATATAATTTACATTGCTGGATTCCTTGCAAGACAGCGAATAATTTGAATATAAACATCATATATTTTGCACAAATGATAAAATTTTTGGTCTGTCTAATAAAATTCTTCAATTAGATCTAAAATTGTATGTCTAATGCAAGTTTTAGCATGTTTATATTCAAATTAATCACTATCTTATAAGAATTCCAGCAATGTAAATTATATTCTGGCCGGGTAATTTCTATGAATTTTATGAGCTAAAAACAATTATCTCGAGTATATAAACAAATTATACTTCACCAGACACAATACGTTACGTACGTTGTAGTAAAAATAACATCTTAATTTTATGATGGTATGCACACACAATTAATATTTAAGAGAAATATCAATAATATTAGGTTTTTTAACACTTACGTTAGTAGAAGAGATGGCTGGCTACACGGGGATGGGGGGTTGGTTCTGAGGCAGAGGGCAGATTATTGGCCCTCACCTGTATCACTTGTATTACCTGTATCACTATCCACCACAGAGGCTTGCAGGGCCTCTTTGTCAAACCCCTCAAAGTCCATATCCTCACTGTCACCGATTTGGGCTGGCTGTGGTGGGTGGCGGGTGAAGAACTCGGTAATGTTTTGTTGACTGGGCGACCTTGTGCGCACCCTGCCTGCGCCGCTTCCCACGTAAATGATGGAAAATACCGCTTAAATAAAAATTGTCGGTCTGGCAAGGTGCCACGTAAATGACCAAACGCGTAAACCAAATCCGCGTAAATCGAGACTACAGTATACTGTACTGTATAGTATTTCGAAATCAGACAAAAATGGAATCAGTAATTAGTTGGCCATTACTAGTTCTCTTACTAAATAGCAGTAGTGCAACAAATATAAACATTGATTCCTTATTCCCTCTTGCGGGAGTGGGGCTTCCCTTCCTTGAGGGACACTTGGTCACATAAAACAAGCCCCAAACATTTTAGTAAGTCTAGCTGTGAAAGACTCTAAGAAAATAGGAAACTTGAAGCATTTGCTGAAAATAATATGAAAATTTCCTGCCAATTAAAGAAGGCAGTTGGTATTTTCTTACAAAGTAAAAAGGGAACATGAAGAATGGATGAGGGTTCCCTGCAAACATATGCAAGTGGGAAAGAGTTAAGGATGAAATTAAAAGACCAAAAAAAATGACCAGAAAATATGATAGATAATATGAACATGACATTAAGTACTGTACCAAATGGATATGGAGGTTCATCAATAATGGCAGGTTACCAACCAATGCTGTAGTATGCATTTGTTTTCCTTGGACATATTAAATCTTTATAAAATGATTTGGACATTTTTTTTTTTACATTAGCTGGAACATCCACATTAAATCATTTGTTTGATTACTTCAATCTTAATCAAGCTCTTAACTTCATGTTCATGTTGACAAGTCTCTACTGTACTTTACCTCTTATATGCATAATAATAATAATGATAATTTCTTCATTTTCAGGTTGCCAACATGCAAAAAACTTCTCTGACAGCAACTAGTAGCAAAGGACCCCTAGCAACCTTACCAGACTTAATTGTTCCTCACCACAGGCTTAGGGCTGTTAGTTTAACCTTCCCCCAGCCACCTACTCCCCCTCCACCTGCTGAATAAACTATTACACATCTTTAATAAAAGCCTGTTATTCCCCTGGAATATCTCCTACTTTTCTGTACTATTTTCCTTGTGTGACTCTACTTGGGCTGGCATCTATGAAACAACTTCACTGGGGCTCTTTGCATTCTAGGTGTATTTTTTAACTACAGAATTACATTCCACCAAATCTGAAGAAACCAAAGTATATTGCATCATGTAACATGTTTTACTGTATTAGCAAAACCTGTTAATATAATTTTTATATGTATAGTTTATTTGGAAGGAAGTTTTGAAGAAATTAAAATAAAAATAAACAAAAGTTTCAAATTATTTATCCATCCAGACACATAGTGACCAACTTCAGAAAAAAGATTTACCTGACAAGAATATCCCCTCAACATACTGCACTGTAATTATTATTGTGCATCATTACTAAAAATAAATTAACAAGAAAGTGAAATGTGGCACTGGTTTTCAAGCTAGACATACTGTATTTCCCACTGCAGCACTGAAAGAAAAATTAAAAGCACAAATGTACAGTTGCTGATCTGTCTTTCTGCCTCATTTACACACAATTGCAGGGTTTCAATTGTTTCTCTTACTTTGACAACATAACATACATACATACATACATTCGACCTCACCAGCCCCATCAGCTCGATGAACAGGCTTTGTGTGAAATATCACAGTCTAGAACTACTTTTAGTGCTCTTGTGGCATGGTCGGTAACATTCCCTGGTCCCATGCATTAGGTCGAGGGTTCGAGTCCTGGCTGGTGAGGTCGTTGATTATATGTTCAAAGTCCGCTTGTTATATGGACTAAAAATGAAGTATACATGGTACCTTGTGTTTCATACCAGCTGGATTCGGTAAAATGCTACTGACATCCAAATAAGCAGTACGGGCATATATATATATATATATATATATATATATATATATATATATATATATATATATATATATATATATATATATATATATATATATATATATATATATATATATATATATATATATATATATATATATATATATATATATATATATATATATATATATATATATATATATATATATATATATATATATATATATATATATATATTATAATAATAATAATGGAAGTATTATGCTTACTATGCTAACCATGGAAGCCAACTGCTTGTTTGGTTGTGGACTAGTTTAGTGATGTAAGAGCGGATCTTTGACGAAGCTTCGAAACCCCTGACTCTTTCGTTAATAATTATCAGTTTTATTTTAGCTAATGGTGGATAGAAGTGATTTAAGAAAATTAATGAGATTATAGCTGACGGACCAATCGTGTATGGTGTTCTTTCCGCCATCCAGTCGATTATTTTCATATGAATCAGTAAAGCGAACCAATAAATTAAGGAATCGAAAAGCACTTCGGGTTCGCCACTCGCCAGTGATCATTAGAGGTAGGGCAGTGGTGGCGGCAACGTGTGTGTGTGTGGTCATACAGTATTTGATCGCTATTTCCATGTTTTACGTTTGCTGTCTGTGGATTACCTCGTGTTTGTGGCGTCATGAGGACTTCCAGGACTCTACGTTGTGGTTATTAGCAGTTGAGTGAGGGTAAGGTGATAACAAGTTGTGTTGTTGTACTGTGGGGTCAAGGGAGGAGGAGGCGGTAGTGTAGCTTTCTGCCGTGTGTACAGGAGTTGTGGATGCCGTGGCTCAGACAGAAAATACTGCTATTAAGATGGCTATTAACCAAAGTTAGCATGTGGTATAGACAGATAATACTGCTATTAAGATGGCTATTAACCAAAGTTAGCATGTGGTATAGACAGATAATACCGGTACAGTACTGCTATTAAGATGGCTATAACCAAAGCTAGCATGTGGATAGACAGATAATACTGCTATTAAGATGGCTATTAACCAAAGTTAGCACGTGGAAAGATAGATAATGCTGCTATTAAGATGGCTATTAACCAAAGTTATCATGTGGATAGACATATAATACTGCTATTAAGATGGCTATTAACCTAAGCTAATATGTGGATATGTGAATAAAATCCTAGAATTAGTATCGGTACATTGTTGTTGCAGTGCGGGGTACTTATCCACCTGTACTGGGACCTTGATTTTGTATGAATTTATTGAGTAAAAATCACACATACATACATGAGGGTTATCGGCCTGGTTATGCTTTCAAGTGTTAAACACCTTGTTCAGTTGGAAGTTTTGTATGGTAAGAGGGTAAGTATCGCCCGGGGCCTATATGTTGCTATTGCTGAAGCAAATTATGCACGGGATCACTAAATCAACATTTCCAATATAATTATTTGCCCTTGATAGTGTAAATACTTGTATGCTGGCCACTTCTGGACTAATCTTAACTAATTTCAATAAGCTATTCTTTACAGAGTGAAGCGATCCTAGTGTTGTTACCAGTACCCTGCATAACAACAATTAAAGCTTGCGGCAACAAGGTGGCTATACAGTATAGATATTATAAAGGGATTCTAGCCAGCCTAAGGAAGGAAGGTTGATATTCCCTTAACACATAATCAATGTTATTTACATGATATCTGGCCTGTAGCGGGGAGGGATCATCGTGTTCCGCTATAGTCGCGGGAGTGGTGGTCCAGCAGGCGCCACGGAAGCGCTGTGTGGGACATCTAGGAGGTAGTGGATATGGTGCGTTGTTACTTGCATAATGTGCCAAGAGCGCTGTTCAGGGGATGCGGATACCACCCAAGCAAAGTCATACCCAATGACATACGGGCAGCAATCACGTCCCTTTTTCCGCGACCTTTCTTCCCATAGACATACGAAAGAGGCCGGCGTTTACGGGGACATCGCATCAGTGAAAGCGGGAGTTCAGGGGATGGCTGCTTCCTGAGCTTTCTCTGTTTGCGGCAAATTTGGGTCCTAAGCCAAAAGTGTTCTGAGGAACACGCAGTCAGGGCGTGGCCTTGTTGCAGCCGTCTGGCAAGGCCATCTGTTGCCTCATTCCCCCCAGATACCGACATGACTGGGTATCCATAGAATGTCACAGGACGGCCTGCATCCTGAAGTGTGGATGTTAACCCTACCTATCTGGAGGATGAGGTCCTTATTTTCCCTGATCCAAATGCGATCCTGTCGAGAGCAGACCTGAAATCGCAGAGATAGCAAGGAAACCATCTGCTTCTTCCTTAGCAGAAGGGCAGCAAGGAGGGTTATCTGCCTGAGGAGGATGCCCTCTGTCGAAACTCTGAGAGACAATTTGATAGGCCCAGGGCATCAGGGACGGGAGATGCAGACATTCAGCCCCGGCCCGACCTGTAGCGGGGCCAACAGAACCTTAGTAGAGGACGACTTTACCTGGGGACCAGTGGGCGATCCTAAGAGGTGGTATTCTTCCAGAGGGAATACTCAGGGTTCACGGGATTTCGGGAGCGGTCTACTGAGGGCAATCACTTCAGGTTGACAATCCAGCCAGGGAGAAGGAGATTTAACCAACAGCAGGGGTTCTACCGGATCTTGGGCTGTATATCGTAACGTGAGTATTTCTCTCCACAAGTCCAGGTCTGGAACGCCTCTGGTTTAGCCGTATGTCTGGCGTAGCACGATTTCCGGTTATCGCCTGCACCAACATTGATAATCTAACCACCCAGATGGCTTGTGTCCCGATATCAAGTGTTCTTATATAAAACAAAATACCAGCCTTTTGATACGCCCCCTAGTAGCTACGCCACTAGCAATCACGCCGTATTATCATTATATATTAGCCTTCATCCAGAGGGTTTGCTACTGAGGGAATCAAGAGATGACTGAACATTCATAACAGTAAAATGGTGAACTCTGAGGTAGGTTATTATTGGTTGCACGGGACGAAGCCATAATGTGGGTGAAATGAACTTAACCTAACCTCACCCCAATCAAACCAAGTGTGTCTGTAGTGATGATGAATTAGTCTATAATAATCAGATCATTCAGAAGCACCAATCATCGCTCGGCTATTCATCATCACCATTATCATCATCATTCATCATTTATCATCATTCATTATCATCATGATATACGCCATCATTATTGTCATCATTCATTAGCGATCATCGTCGTCATCACATATACGCCATCATTATCGTCATTCATCCTCATCATCACTATCATCACACCACACATTACCACCCCTTTCGAGCCCCTTCTCGCCCGCCTTGGACTACCAGCAGTGTTGTTGGCAAATTAGTGGTGGTTATTTCTGGTTCGTTTACGCCATTTTGTAGATTTTTCATAAAATAACATATCGTTATATACCAAATAAAAATTTTATTACATATGCAATAAATTCTGATTATCTATATGACATTACGTAATTTATTCAGAATGTATTCACTGGTGCAGAACTTCTACCTATGGGGACTATGTCACCTGTCGTTTGTATCGAGAGTTCTGACTGGCTACACCAAACGAAGCGCTTAACTGTAGTCGAGCTGTGCGCTTACATTTCTCTTTAACCATCTGTGATTTTTGTTGATCAGCTGAATAAAAATGCCTTCTATTATTTCCCGCAGAAGCAACTCAGTTTGTTAGTGAGCATTTAGCATGTAATATCCGGTCCTACTATTACAAGAGCGTCGAAGTTATGGAAGTTTCTGATCGGGTGGTTCAGTGTCTGAGTCGAGCTCTCAGCGTCACTTTGAAGGTATCAGCATTTTCTTAGTGCCAATTAAGCAAATAAATATGGCCACGCCAGCCATCCGATTAAGTGTTATTACTTATGTCTGCGACGCTTTTATATCATGTGCTTCAACACACAAGAGCGTATGTCCATTGTCCATACTGGAGATGGTTCGGTGTGGTGGCGATGTGGAAGAACTTTAGACCAGGACAGCCAGACGTGGAGTGGAGGGAGCGCCAGTGACGGTCGAGGCGATTAGTGGATATGTATGGAAGTTAATATTTACAAAAATGTCTTTAAATAATACATCCAGTTGTCATGATTATAAAATACAGACGCTATCATGTGTGTGTTGGTGCTGAAAAATATAAGGTATGTCGCTGTGTGTATATTTCCCCTTACAACTTATTTTCTCTCTCCAATTTACGTAAATTGATAGCCCACAGACCGCATAGAAATGTTGATGATCAAATTTAATTATACTGAATGATCTTGACAGCTTCACTGGGGTAGAAATCCATTTCAACGTGATTTGGTTGTAGGAGTTTAAGGTTAGGTGCCAGAACAAGGCGACCACCCACGCTCATTAACCCGACCTTCTCCCCTCGACCATTATCCGGTTTAGCATTTATACGGAGTCCTTTAACACGGCTTTAGAGGATTATGAACATTAGATTAAC